GGGGGTGGGGGTGGCGCGGACCTGGAAGTGCTGACCTGGGTGGTGGGAGGGAGAAGAGGTGGTTGGAAGACACAGACTTTCCTGGTCTTTTCTTTTTCCGTTTAAATGTGGCTTCTTGCTCAATTCCCAACCCTTAACAGATGGCGACTGCAGTTCTCTCAGAATTTCTTAAAGAAAGGGAAACCTTTGGAATTTATTTCTGCTTTTGCTTTTCCATATAAATAAAAAGTGTTTTTATGTTACTCTTGTTTTGGAGAACATAAGCAATTTTATTCAGACTACAGTATTTCCTTTAACACTATATGGTTGTCAAAACACCATTCCCAGTTTCTTTGCTTTTGACAGCTGAGTCTTTCTTAAATATACCCAAATCGGAACTCTTTATACTAAATAGTAAACCCGAGATAGGAGCAAATGCCTTCTGAGGTGGTATAAAAAAAGCATTATAAAAATTGGACAACTCTACTACCTCTTGGTCTTAGCATATGGGGTGGGGGCAAGAAAATACAAACAAATATTATTACAGTTATTATCTCCAAATATTGAAGACGTTTAAGGTTAACAGGATTTGTTTAAGGAGCTAAGCCTGAGATGATTTTATTCATTAAAACCAAGGGTAGAGAGTTTTGAGATCTCAACTTTGATGAAATAGCTTAGTAATAATTTCATTAAACACGTCCTAAACATGAACCCTTACCAAGTAAACTCTGCAGCATGTCCTTTACTGAGAGGAAAGGAAGAAAAAAAATTTTTTTTTCCCCCCAGCGGATGTGAGTTAATTTGTAAATGCAGAACTTTACCTAAAAGCATTTAAAGTAAAAATATACAAATAACTTAGATTTTGCAAAAAGACTCCACGTGCGTGGGGATAACAAAAGTGAGGGGGAAGCTCTTTTCCAAGTGGCATAGAATTTCTCCGTTAATCAACAGTTTGTGTCAGAAGTGTTATTTCTACATTGAAAAAGCAGCCTATCAATTAAGCTGATAAATGTGTTTATAAAAAAATCTACCTAAAAATAATACAAAAACAATAGAAATTTGTTTCGTTGTTTCTTTACATACAACTTTCCTTCATGTTTTCTGCACTGGGAAGATGGCAGAAGTCCAAGTAAGATACAAACTTGGATTTCTGAGCTGGTGAACTATTTCCCTATCAAGCTGACATCGCAGAACTAGTTTTATGATACTATCGCTTCTACACATAGGATTAAAAATGTAGGTGTTTCAAAATTCCAGGAATAGTACATTTATTTTAGAAATTGAGGGGGCATGCAAATACCTCACACTTTTTTTTCCGCTTTGCACACTATCAGGCGTTGACAGTACCAGCAAGCCAGTAACCCAGATTTCTAGGAATGCTGTGTGATACTCTGAAAATGGCATTATATTGCCTGTTTTGCTGTTGTTTTAGGAAAAAATTTACGTTTAGTCACCCAACTCCTCACACTAGCGTGTCTGCACGTGGCGGTGTCTGAAATAAAAAGACCTCATAATAAAATTTATATTAAATATTAATGATTAATGTTTTCAACTCAGGATTTCAAACTCCATAGAAGTTGTTTACTCATCTATGAACATCTATATGTAAATTTTAATTTACATATTCAACAGCATTTTAGTAAGTAAGACAGAAAAAACACAGGCAGATGAATTATCTTTGAGCACAGACGTTAGTTATTTCTTATGATGTAAAATTAACCCTGAAAAAGCCCTTTATTCTGGCAGAGGATGAACATGAAAAGCTTTATCTGAAAGTATTTTTTTCCAGCATCATGCATCTAAAAAGGAGGTTAGACATATTGAATGAAGGTAATCTTTCAACCTGGCTCATCTCATGCATATACACACACACACACACAATTTCATACCTTTAGAAGTTTTCTTCTGTATAAGCCAAATATACACTACCCGCTACAGAAGGTTACCTTAAAAACTGTCGGTAAATTGCAAATCTGGCCAACTTCTGGGGGGGCAAAACCACCACCTACTTGTAACACCATATATATATAGCAGGCACTGTGCAACCTTGCCTTAAAACTATGAAAAACACAAAAAAAAGCCTAACAAAAAATCAAAAATGAAATATTTATTACCGCATTTTGTGACTTAACACTTTTTTTTTTAACATAACGTCACAGTCCTCATACAAGTATTTTAATGTAAATTTGACAAAGCTTAAAGGTAACAGCATTTTCTTCTAGTGAGGAACACGTGCTGAGAAAAGAATTCATGGACATACAATACCAATTCCACAGCAGATCTGATACTAGCAAAAACATTCTTTTTTTTTTTCAATTGAGGTAAACACATAGAATATCTAACATGAAACAATTAATAGACCGAACTCTGTACGAAGTTTGTTACAGTATTTTCTTGCTCCTTTTTATCCCCCAAGCCTTGAGTTTCTGATAACATCCTAGTTGTGGTGCTAGGACCATTAATAACTTTCTTGTGTTGAGGAAAGCTGCCCAACTTGAGATTGTTTTGTCCACAGCCAAGG